TTCTTGCTCCCATCTGCCCTACTTAGACTTACTCTAAGCTCACCGGTCACTTACCGGGTGTTGCTTCTGCCTTTCGGGACTTTTCCCTGAGCTCATCGGTTTACAACCGCTTCTCGCTCCTCTCTGCCTTACTTGGACTTACTCTAAGCTCACCGGTTACCTACCGGGTGTTGCTTCTGCCTTTCAGGACTTTTCGCTTGAGCTCATCGGTTCACAACTGCTTCTTGCTCCTCTCTGCCTTACTTGGACTTACTCTAAGCTCACCGGTTCCTTACCGGGTGTTGCTTCTACCTTTCGGGACTTGTCACACACCAAGCTCAACGGTTACATACCGTATATTGCTCATCTCTGCCCTTCTGGGACTTATCCTTTTCTCGGCTCAACGGATCCTCCGTCTCTTGCCTACTTGTCCTTCCTCTAGACTTACTATAAGCTCACTGGTCGTGTGCCGGGTATTGCTTCTGCCGTTCGGGACTTACTCCTTTCTCGGCTCAACGGACTACACCGTCTCTCGCCCTACTTGCCCTACTAGGACTTACCTCGTTACGGCTTGACTCCCTGTCTACCGTTACACACCTCCAGCTCACCGTTATCCACAACGGCTTGCCAGCACCACCATCCCGACGCACCAATGGATACACGCCCTTCGGCTGGATCCGAAGGTTCTCACCACCTTGAACTACGTCTCTAATCTTCTCGGGTTAAGCACACATGCAACCCTTAAACCTGCACCAAACTCTATGGACTACAGGGAGAATTTGACTAAGAGACTCAAACAAAGGACTCACCGTGATTCCCTGATGCGCTAAGTTAGATTCACCGAGCCTAATCCTGCTGCGCACCTAACCACGATCTGCTTCAATCTCTCTCAGACTTTCTCTCACTAAACTCACACAAACGGTTTCTAGAGCGAAGTAGAGATTTTTCCGGAATGAATTTGCTTAAGGGGTGAGGTTCTATATATAGCCAGCGTCCCTGCCATGCAGCCGTACAAATGTCGCTCAAGACGTCTCGTCAGTGCATACAATGGTCGATCTCGCCACCTCGGAGATCTACCACACCTTTTCTAGACCTAGGTCGGCTACCGCAGCCTTTGTCCCCCACTGAGCCAGCAGTGCCTTGTCCCGTCGGAACATGCATTGTCCGTACTGACTCCATACAGTTCTACTGCAGCCTTTGTTCCCCACTTCATTCCCTTTGTCTACATGTGTCAGTGCGGTACTGTTCACGTACTGTTCATAGTACAGTTCACATTACTGTTCACAGTATTGTTCACGGTACTGTTCCCGACACTGTTCACGTCAGGAATATTTCCAGCCTGTTGCACAGTTTTTCCTTCTTTCCGTGGTTATAAATACTCTGATATTCCTTTGAACCAGATCTCCACACTCCTCTTGACACTTAGCTGTTTTTCTTCGATTTTCGGCTAACACTCAGCCAATTTCTTCGTCACCGAACCTCTTTAAAATTTTCCCGTGTTTTTCTTCATCTGCTCCGACCAAAATCTTCATCTCGGCCCAAACTTACTTCCCAGCTCAACTCCCAGTCGATACCGCGACTTTGTTTTTCCGGCCGTTTTAGCTTTAAGTCGGGGTATTACAGATGGTCTGCCTACGCTTCTATATAAGCGGATTGTACTTATCATTTTTGGAACATCTTCTTTTCAATAAAATTTCGAGTTTTCTCTCTTTTGTTCTTTTAGAATTTTTTTGATTTCTTGGTGGTTAGCTAATAGATCTTTCGGTTTATCAAGCTCTTTCCATCGAGTTTGACGTAGCCTTCATTATTCATTAGATTAAGGGGATTCCTAGTCGTTATCAGGCTTAGGGATTTTCAGGAAACACTCTTTCTCACGCCTTTAACATCCATAACCGCGTTTCCACTCTCTCTTTTGTTTCACCCCCTTGTTTTACTCTTTTCTTTGCGATTGGGCCTAATGATTTTTGAGACAAGTCTCACTCCTTAGCATCTTTCACATCAGAACGATCTAAAGTCAAAGATCTATCAACCTCAATCCGACCAAGCATGTGATAATCTTTGGAAGTTCATATCATCGTGATTTGCTTGTTAGGAAGGCTCATGGCGGTGGTTTGATGGGGCACTTTGGAGTAACCAAGACTCTTAGTGTGGTCCAGGATCATTTCTTCTAGCCGCACATGAAAAAAGATGTGGAAAGAGTTTACGGCCGATGTATCACCTGTAAGTATGCGAAATCCAAAAGCCAGCCTCTAGGTATGTAAACTCCTTTACCCATTCCTAGCTCTCCTTGGACGGAAATTTCTATGGATTTTGTGCTAGGATCCCCAAGAACTAGGAAAGGTCGGGATCCAGTCTTTGTTGTAGTCGATTGGTTCTCAAAATGGTGCACTTTATTCCTTATCATAAGACTGATGATGCGTCTAATGAGGCTGATTTTATTTAGAGAAGTGGTTAGGTTGCACAGAATGCCTAGGACTATAGTCTCTGACCGCGATGCAAAGTTCCTTAGTTATTTTTGGAAAATGTTTTGGTCAAAACTAGGTACAAAGCTATGCTTTTCCACCACTTGCCACCCACAGATCGACGGCCTAACCGATGTCGTTAATAGAACCTTGTCCGCATTGCTTTGTTCTGTTATTAAAAAGAACTTTAGGACTTGGGAAGATTGCCTACCACATGTAGAGTTTTCTTATAATCATGCGGTTCATTCTACTACAATGTTTTCCTCGTTTCAATTGGTTTATGATTTTAACCCTCTTACTCCACTTGATCTCACGCCTTTACCTTTGTCTGAGCATGTGAGTATGGATGGGAAGAAAAAGGCCGAGCTTGTCAAGCAGATACATGAGAACGCTAAACAGAACATTGAAAGGAAGGCTAAGCTTTACAAGAAACACGCCAACAAGGGCCGGAACCAAAACGTGTTTGAACCAGGCGACCTGTATGGATATATTTGAGGAATGACAGATTTCCGAAGGAAAGGAAGTCCAAGCTATTGCCTCGTGTGGATGGTCCATTGACGGTCCTTGAGCGGATCAATGACAACGCCTACAAGATCGACTTGCAAGACAGACCAGGCTTGAGGACTAGTCCTTTTCCACAGGGGGAGGATGATACGATCATGGACCCAGAGGACGACCCAGACAAAAGAATCGAGGTTCCGAACGAACACTTGGTCATACCGGATGGACCCATTACGCAATCCAGGGCTAAGAAGCTGGCAGGGGGCGGTTCAGGCTGTACTTAATGGGATCAAGATCGGACCAGGTGACCCAGCATCACCCGAGATCGTGACCGTGCTCATGAACGCCGAATGTAACTAATCTGGTCCGGGTAATGGCTTAATACTTTTTTTCCTTACACCCGGGTTTGTCCCAATGGGTTTACCGGGTGGGATTTTAACGAGGTTAAGTCCATTGTCCATCTCTCGATCCAGGTTCGTTTATGGTCGGGTTCATGGGTCGGTAGCCTAAGAGTTATTTTCGGTGAATCAGTCCAAGAGACAATTTGAGTCCACCGAAGAGTCAGTCAACGTTTTTAGTCTTTAGTATTTATTTTCTTTGTAATTTCCTAAGAGCAACCCTTGAGCTACTTCGCCTTCTATATAAGGCCTTTGTATTCTCATTTGGAACTCATTCACTTTTCACTTAATAAAATTTTCGAGTTTTTCTCTTTGTTCTCTTGAGAACTATTTTCGATTCTAAGGTGGTCAGCCTCTTGAATCTTTCTTCCAGTTTGTTGAGTTCTTCTCATCGGACTCAACGCAGCCTTCGACCCATCAAGCTTTAAGATTCCGTTCAAGTCGGTTTAGGGGGATCAAGGAATTTTGGGAACCTTATTCTCACGCCTGATCATCTTAGATCCGCGGATCCTTACCTTGGTGAAGCCATCACCTTGTACGTGACGAACATTGTGAGTTTGGGCCTAGAGATATTCGGGAGTTTCTACTCTCACGCTTTAGCATCTACTCCGTGCATCAGACCTGAACAAGGATTTATCAATCTCCATCGCCCAAGTGTGTTCCGTCTTAGGAGATTCGTATCAGAAACCAGAAACTGCTTACTTTGCTTAAATTAAGTAGGGACTCATATGAACTTGTTTCTAAACTCACCTGATATGGATTGATACCTTCTTACTACATGATAGAGGGATTGATAATCCATTAAGAACCTTGACAACTCTTACTTATCATTAGTTTACTTAAAAGAAATTATATTTAATTTAAAAGAAATTATAATATTTAGTAGATTGAATATATCACCTATTTTAAAAACTAATATTTTGAATTACGAGATTTGTTTTTGTGGATATCAAAAAATTAGAATCATAATCTGTTCATATCGAACTAACCCGTTTACTTAACATGTTTATACCAGATTGAAATAAAAAACTAATTATAATATGCACTATTCAGTAACTCTCATTCACCATAATTTTTTATTTAAAAATTAATTTTCTCATGTCAAATATTTGGTAAAAGTAACTAAAAAACATTTTTGTATATGCTCAACTAAATATAACGAATTATAGTAAAATAATTTTCATCACTTTTTTAATATCATAAATTTTAATTTTGAATTTTATAGTATTTAATTGTGTAAAAAAATTATTTTCAAGTTTTTTAATTAAATATAATTTATAATATCATTTGAAACGAAAAATATAAAAACTACTATATTTTTGAATTCAGAAATTTAATAATAAATATACTTTCTATTAAATGAGAAACAAATATTTTCCACTTTTTTCAATAGAATTAAAAAATAACTTTATTCTTTCTTATTTTAATTATTCTTTATTATTTGAAATGGTATATCATGTATATTTTACAAAACAAAAGTTATTTTTTACTTAAATAATAATATAGAGATTACTTGCTTAATTCCCTGAACACAAGATTTTCTACAACATTGGACTTGTATTTAGGATTCTATTAATACTTATCTAAACCGATCGTATAGTGAGACAAAAAAAAAACAACAAAAACAAAACACTCTAGATCGCCTTCAGATTAGCCTCCATGCCACTTAAAAGAATATTCATATATAAACAGCTCTCTCACGTATTGTGTTTTGATACAAGAAATCAACATCAATACATTTGACATCGTACTCTTGGATGAGAATCAAAAAGAGTAATGAGAGAAAAATTAACAACAAAAAAATAAGAATGCCCAATTGCTGCAATGTCTACACTGATGCAGTGTTGGGTAATACCGAGGGAATACATACTCTATCAACAACTATATGGGTCTACTTTTTGCACACCAAGCTTCATCTTTTTGGCGATGCACGAAACAACACTATCTCAAAACATAATCCCAGGTTTTCTTAAAAGAGTTCTTCTGAGTTGAACTTGTTCCATGCTTCCTGTTTATTGTCAGGAGAAAAAGAGATGAAGCCAGCAAATCCAATTGAACATTAGGTTAGCTTGAGGGTCTTTTTGTTGGTGACCTGTATCTGAAGCAAAGTGATGGTGAAAATTGGTGAATCACTTACCTTGAGCAAGTCGAAAACTTTCTCGGCAATGTATTTCTGCTGGAGATTGGCGCCTTTTTGCTGAACTTTGTCAGGATGTATGCAGAGAGTAGCCTTTCTGTAAGATTTCTTGACAGATGCAGCGGTAATTAAATCGGTCAATGAAACAGGCTGCCAACCGCATTCTGGCCAAAGAACCTGCTCATTTGAATAGAAACATCAGAAGAGATTGTAAGATCGATAAAATCAAAGGCACAAATGAACATCAAAGACATACATATTGTAACGTCGAAAGCAGAGCACGCAAGTTTCCCTCCTTCCCCGCACCCCAACGTTTTATCTCAACATCCAAGGTCTCACCGATCCTCTGCAATCCAAGATTAAGTATGGTGATTACAAGAAAAGAAATAAAAAAAACAAACACAAGAAGCAAATATTTGACAGGGTTCCCTATGATGCCAAAATATGTTTGTGTTTCGAGCAACAGGATTTGAGATCTCAAATTGAATCACACTGTAATGAGACTGTAATGAAACTTACATTTTTTTCAGCTTGTTCTCTTTGTACTTGAAGATCACGTTCATTTTTCTCAGCAAGTGCTTTCGCCTGTTTGAGAAAAGCATTCGTGTAACTAAACATACTGGCGAATCTTACATCATTTTCAGGTACAAAACCCATCAAAGAAAAAAATTTAACAATTCTATTGATACATACAGCCCGCTCTTGTGTCCTCTGGTGGCGTTCCAGCCTGGCACGCCGTCTTTCTTCAGTTTCTCCTTCAACATCTTGAAAACCACCAGATTGCGTTGCTGAACCTTTACAAAACAGGAGAATTCAGTAGGACACCAATTTTAAAGACATGAAAATGAAGTGCATACCGACTGAATATGAGCAATAAAGCTCACAAATTGCAGTACCTCTAAATATTGAACTGAGATCATCAACAATGTTTGTCGCTGAAGAGGCCTTCCTCAGGTTTTCTGATGCTCCAGAAGGCACTCGCGAAGATGGCCTGCTAGATTCGAAAGATCCTCCTTTATTCCATGAATCTTGGAAAGGATCCTGAAACACAACTAGAGTTATAGGAGGAGATGAATCTCCAGGAAAGGACGTAGAGCAGAACAGAAGTAGATATCCAATCTCACCGGAGGGTTGGTTCTTTGTCGTGGAGCACTGTTGGGCCTTGAAACCGAGTTAAAGAAGGAGTCAAGATCATTGTTATTCTCTTGGGCAGCTGCCCTTCCACGTGCTTCTGCGGCTGCCCTTTCCACAGCAGCTCGTTCTGCCCTAACCCGTGCTTCCTTCTCCCGCGCTTCAGCATTCGCCCTTTCTCTAGCTTCTGCTGCAGCTTTCTCAGCTTTTTCTCTTGCCCCTGCAGCTGCTCTTTCACGTGCTTCGGCATGAGCTCTTTGAACCGCTGCTCTTTCTGCGCGTTCTCGGGCATCGGTAGCCTTCCCAACAGCAGCTCTTTGAACTTTTGCATGTGCTTCAGTGGCTGCTCTTTCGCGTGCTTCCCTTGTAGCCCTCTCTACCGCCTGTCTAGCCAATAATCTTTCCCTTTCTTTCTCAATTCTTTTCTGCTCTCTCTCTTTCTCCTCTCTCTCTCTCTCCCTCTCCCTTTCCATCTCTGCCTCCCTCTCTATCCTTTCACGATCCAATCTTACTTGCTTTTCTCTTAGTTCCCTTTCCCGAGAATCATAATTATCCATTTGATCGCCTTTTCTACTTCTACTTGCCTTCAGATTTTCTTTCTCTCGCCTTTCCTTAGCATGCCTAAACTTCGCTTCTGCTTTATCCATGGCATCCTTCATTGCAGCAGCAGATGCAACAGCAGCAGAGAAAACATCTGGATCTTCACCAGAGGGAGGCTCGGGATGCCCATTAGCAGCAGTCTGATTTCTGCCCATAGAAAAATCGTCGAGTTCCTCCATTGGAGATACTGTCGGGCTATTTGCAGAAGCTCTAGCTGAGTTAGGAACGCGTGAGTGATTAGTAGAACTCGATAAAGAAGGCTCATTAACCTTCATTTTTCCAGGACGTGTAGGTCTTGGTGGTGGAGGTCTCGAAGGTGGCGGAGCACTCGTAGGTTGTGTAAATAGGGGGATCTCAGAAACAGTAAGCCACACATCATCAGATGATTCAAAACTTCCATCTGAATTGACTGATTTGTTTTCATACACTGGAGAAGCAGTCTGAGGAACACTTCTGGATGAAGTACTCTGCGGCTCCAAAACTTCATCAAATGAAACTTTCTTAGCATGGTAACTCCCAGAGTTTTCCACTGGTGACTGAGAGCCACTGACGTTTCCTGATCTCAGATGACTTTTGCCCCTACTATTCATATCTGGCCCTGATTTTCCAAGACTATCGAGAGAGTCAATATCAACAAATCCTCCTCCACGGACAGAAGAATGATCAGTTTTTCTGCTGTTGAATTTACCAATTTCCTCCAATGGATCAGTGAACCCTCCTGTCGAAGGTTCACTAGGTGTTGATGCAGACTCCTCCAAGACTACAAATGGGTCTTCCACAAGATTGGAAGATGTCTTGGCTGTCCGATACGGAGGTTTCTGAGATTGACTCGTCTCTGAAGTTGGCCTGGGCATAAAGTTTACGGAAACTTTCAATTGATAAACAGGTTAATCCTATACCAAAAGTCAAAATAAAATTTTGCAAAGATTGACAAGCAAAAATATTAAATTTGGAGACTTTCGAAGATTTTCGAAAGTTCAAGGAATTACACATAAGAAAACCTTGTATGCATTAACCTGCAAATAGCTCCCATAAGTTCATGCTACAATTCATTAGCAAAAAGTTCAACTTTTTGGAGACTTTCTAAGATATCTACAAGTTCCAGAAAGAACACATACGAGAACCTTGTACGCAATATAAACGTGCAAATACCTCCCATAAGCACTATAAAGTTAATGCTACATTTCATCAGCTCTAAGCTCTATACCCTTGAGTCATTTCACGCAAGTAAACTCTCAAGTCAGCTCTAAGAGAAACAAAATTTTAGGAGCAACGAACCCTAAACACAGATCAACAAGAATTACCGTTTAGTTGGAGGGGAACTAGTGCGACCAAACCCAGGAATCAAGTCATCAAAAACAGAACTACCCTGCTCCTCTCGCTCACTCTCTGTCTTCTTTGGCTCCGTTTCTCTTTTCCCCAAATTCCCAATCAGATCATCGAAAGGAGAACTATTCTGTTTCCTGTGCTTCCTAGGTGACGAGATCGAAGAGAAAACGTCATCAAACCTAGCTGATTGAGAAGTCGATGGAATTTTGAGCTCGGGAAAAGCCTCAAACACATCCTCATCGTACACAGGCTTGTCATAAACCGGCATGGACGCCGATTTGGGTGTTGTACGCTCCTTGAACATAGCATCGTAGTCAAAGGCCGGAGCAGAGGGCTTAGTCTGAGAACGAGAATCGGAGGATCCGCTAAATACATCGTTGAAGAGAAGATCATCACCATCGCGACTCAGATCGTCAAATACCGGCGACGAATCGGACTTCTTCTTCGATGAGGCGTTCGCGAAGCTGTAGGAAGGAGCGAAACTGCTAAAATCAGCGGCAGAAGAGTTAGTTTGAGGCGCCATCGGAGCAGATTTCCCCTGAGGCTTCAATCCAAAGTCTCTCGCTAAGAGGCCTGTGAAATCATCCATGTGCCTTTGATTTCTACCTCCCAAATCCGAAATCTCACCGGAAAATGAAGACGAGGTAATCTTCAGATCTGAGAATCCATGAACGAATGACCAAAGAATATGATTGGTCTCCGATATTAGTTTTGAAAAATTGCTCTCTTTTGTTTTCTCATCCTCTCTGTGCTTTCTTCTCCGACCCATACATGTTCCGAGTCTCCATAATGTCTTCTTTTTTGATAATTGGGTCCTACATTTTGAAATATTTATAACTTTGGTCCCCAATTTTCTATAAACTCAATGGTACTTCAGACTACTTCTCTGATGAGGACATTGAGATCAATTTACCCGGAGCTGAAGAAACCACCAACGTTGCAGCCATAGAGCAAAAACCAAGAAGAAGAGCAGGAATCAAATGTTTGAGAGAGACGTTCAATAAATCTATAGAAAGCCTCATCTTAGAGATAGAACATGAAGAATTCCAGGAAGAAAAAACTCCAACAAGTCTGCTCAACACTTCTACAAACATGCTCTTGCCAGTGACAAGTCTGGTAAAGACTCCAACAACAAGTCTGCTTGTGCCGGTTTTTCTAGTGATCAAAGAAGCCATTGTGTTCACCATTTTTGTTCACCATTTCAAGAGAACCATCTATATAAGTCCCTTTACGGCCGTGTAATCTTTTCAACTTTGATCATCAATAAAATCGAACTTTTCTTTCAAGCTTTTCTCAGCAAAGAAAACTTGTTAAATCTCTTTGTTCTAGTCGAGACCAGTCCCTCCTAGGCTAAATAACTCTTGTGTTTTATCATAAGCCTTTCACAGCTTGTGTGGTGCACTTCATTCCATTGTTACTTAACCAATCTTCCATCGATTCACTGGTTAGAGAAGCTCGATCATTGAATCAACCCTTGGCCGTTAAACCAAGCTTTGTTTTCCGAGATCATACAAGCCTTGAGATAGCCCTGAGCTTGTATCACTTACGCTAGGGCAGTCCAATTAGATTATTGCTGAAGGTTAGACCAGAGGAGTTGATTGATGGCACTTGTATAATCCAAGCAAGAGCAACCAATGCACCAAAAATATTGAGTTCGAGATAGGTTACTCTCGCAATGGCCACACCTAGGGATACTACTTCTAATGCCATAACCTGTGAAAGAACAAACTCTAAAACAGGGTTAGAACAAAAAAAACATGTCATGAGAGTTCTTAATTGACCAAGTGAAATCTCACAATAAACTAGAAAGACCTTTGTGGAAAAAATGGGTTCTTTTTTAAGAGAACAAACTCTGCAAGTTAATCGTTGGTGTCACCGTGATCTTAGCCATTTGATAGAATCCAACTGGACAAAAACAAAGGCTTTCAAGTATGAGATAAGAAGATAAAACAGAGCGCAATCTCTTTATCTCTTCAGTGTCTGAACTTCTATCTACATAGTTTGATTAGTGCTAGCATAGGTCAATTTACAGTTTAATCTATAATTATTGATGCAATCATTAAAGATTGAGCTATGAACCTGTTGTGTTTGAGGCTGGTATTAGCGAGACCAGAAGCAAAGGTCAAGACAGATCCAAAAGAGAAGAGAGAGGAGAATGGTATTGTCTTTGATGTAGGAGACATATTGAAAGTAATTAGAGACACCTTAAGAAAGCTAGAAGTATCCAAGCTACTAAAAGGATTGTTTACCTACGTATTGATACCATGGTTCCATGACGACGCCTTTGAGAAAGAAAAGAACTGAGAAGAAAGAGTGGCAAAAGCTAGGAAATGGATTGTTTATCTATACTCTGATACAATAGTTTTGTGCCCGTGCTTGCAAGATTTAAAGCCTTCAGGGTCATGAAATTGATCAGCATTTATCACCATTTGAGAGAGATTTAAAGCTTTCAAGAACATGTAATTGATCAATATTTTATCACTGTTAGTTTGTCCATTCTGTGTTTTTGATATCTGATTAATATGGTTGACAAAAAAATTAATTTGAAGTCTTCAGGTATATGTAAGTATAGGTAAGAACTAGCTAGAAGGAGAGATAAAAGCTAACAAAGAGGTTGTTTACCAATGCACTGATACCATCGTGTACATGCTTATGAGAGAGAGAAAATAACCTACGACATATAAATGATAATGAACTTTGGTGAGAAGTAGAGAATAAAAAAGGCTAATACAAATCAATAAAGAAGAAAAGAAAAATTGAGAGATGATAACTTGGAGAACTTAAAACAAGAATGAAAACTAATGATCAACTTAAACAAGCAAGTAAATAAGCTAAATGAGATGAGAATGTATGTATGATGATGGGAAAGGTCTAAGACATGATAGTAGATTAGGGTGCCTTTAGTGTTAAGCTAGTGAGCTAATGAATCATGTGATCAAGCAAACCATTCAACTTAATTAAGATAATCCTCTCATGAAAGTATTAACTTCTATGCTAAAACAATTTCTAACCTAATCATCATTAGTGAAACATGAATCAACAAGCATTAAGAACCAGTTTAATCTGTCATTTAAGCATATAAATATAAACAATCATTCCCATGATGAATAATACTTAAACCTCTAACAACCTTGGTTCAGGCATTTCATCAAACACTTTTGGTGCATGAAATGCCAGAATCTAGACCACATATGATGTGTATGGATCTAGCATTAAGAACAGGTTGTAGAGAATGGAATATGAATGATCTAACCCCTAAGCTCACTAATCTACCACCTAAGCACCCTAATCTACATATCTAAGACCTTAATATGGGGATTACTCACTAATCATGCTAATCTCTCTTAAACCTTTGCAAGTTGAGAAGATTGGCATGATTAATGATGCGAAATGTACATGGAGAAGATAGATAATGATGGATTTGCAGATTTAAACACAAGATCTCCCAAAATCTCTTGATTAAAACGCCCAAAATCAGATATTTCTCTTCAAAAGGAGTTTTCTTACACAAAAGAGGCAAATAGATTATGGAATAAAGCTTACGTCTGCTGGATAATGCTAAAACATATCTATAGTTAGGGTTTCTTGGTGGGCCAACCTAGAACAAACTAGGTCTTGGTCCCAAAAAGGCCCATAAAAACGTCCTGGATCGAGGTTGTATCGACTGACTTCCAGTCGGTGTTTTTGGTCGGTGTGGCGTTAACAATCTCTTAAACAGAATCTAGACCAGAACTTCACTCGGTGTTTTGCTCGGTGCCGCGTAAAGAATAGCTTCAGGGGATGGACACCGACTGACTTTTACTCGGTGTGGCTCCTCTGCATTCATTCGGAATATTTGAACTCCAAGGATCAGCAAAAGTCAGGTTTTGTCTGCATTCATACTGACTGACTTTCACTCGGTGCCACTGGTCGGTATGAATACAAATCGCCTGCACCAAATGGTTCATAACTCCTTGCTCGCTGGTCCGAACCTCGATCTTCCAACTTTGTGATCCAGATGACGTCTTTAGCTACAAGTTTTGTGAAGGGCTCGAGCTTAGGTAACGTAGGAAAAGGCTCCGTTCCGCCAGTTCTTTGACGCGCGTTGCTTTGGTCTTTTATCGGCTCCGAGACATGCACTGCTTCCGATCGCCGTAACTTTCAGCTCCCAACTCCAAATAGGACGATCTCAAGTGTTCTGGAAACTCGACTCGACCCTCTTGATTCTTGATGAATACTTCGGAAGCTGAATCACAGTTCAAGTCCTCCGTCTCACGCGATCAAAGTAAAGGTATCGTTGGCTCCAAAGAATTTGTCCGGGTTGTTGCACACAGGTGAGAGTCTCTCCATGATCCCAGCTCCAAGTTGATCCCAAAATTCTCCAAATGACCTGTAAACACTCCAAAAATGCAGGACTCTCTAGGACCTAATGCAAATTTCCCAAACAAAGCTAGAACCAAAGACAAACTCTAATAAAACTAGCTAAATGTATGCATGAGACTCAATATTTGGACAAAAATGCAATCCTAAACATGACAAATTATGAATATATCAACTCCCCCACACTTTTCCTTTGCTTGCCCTCAAGCAAACAAGAAAAAATGAGAGAGAGAGAGAGATTGAATGCATGGGAGTTCATATTTCTTTAAAGAGAGATCATCATTAAAAGAATTCAAAGCTCATTGTTCAAGTTACCAATTCTAGACTGCAATGCAAACTGGTTCACTCATAAAAATTAGCCATACTTGTCACCAAATGAACCAAACTCAAGCACCAACCTTCACAAGCATTCCTAACCTCAACCTTTTGACATTCATTTAAAGTTTCAAGTGGATCATGTTCATGCAAATCAAGTGAATTCATTTGGCTTGGGACTGGGTTTTGAGATTAAAATGATCTCAATCAAGTAACTGGTACTCCATGCAAGGGGATCACTCAAAAATTAGTAGACTTTAGTAAAATGCTAAGGATAAAAAGCAATGGATGCATACAAAGATAGAACTACATCTACCCCACACCCAAAATGCTTTTCACATTCAACCTTAAACCTCTCAAGATTCTTTCTCTAGTCTACTCACCCCAAATGGCATTTTGCCTTTGACAATCAGCTCTCATCACTCTCTTCATTTCATCTCTTAGGGGAATGCTTTCTTTAACAACCACTCAGTGAGTTTCTTTTCTTTAACACACAAGCTCTTCCTTAATCCAGCCTCTTTTTGAATCTTTTCTTTTTCTTTTCATGAGACTCTTTTCATTTCAACACATGAGCTTTATATTCCAGCACACACTCACTTTCTTTCATTTAAGCATTCATTCCCCTAACCAATCCGGTTCTTTCCACTTTCATCACTCAGATTTTTTTTTCTTTTCAGCTCACACACTCAAAATCAATGCTCTCACTTTCACCTAAACCTAGACTAGCCCTTGATGTTGGACTAGTGTCTACATGCAGCACTATCTTTGTCGCTCTAAACCCAACACTTTTTACCAAGTCTACTAGAAACAAGGCCTCACAAATCATGCACACAGGAAGGGTGTTTAGGCTTCAAAGAAAGGTTTGGCTAAAGGTAGGGAACTGTCTCAAGATGAGAGATCAGCTATTTGAGCTAGCAAGAGTGATTAAAAGGGATAAGAAAGCTCAAATATGTATGTGGTACCCATGAATTCACAATGATATGCACAAACATGATAATTAGATGTCAAATTCAAGGGTTCTCACTTAAGCAAGGTTGAGGCTATTCACAACTTGATTCAGCTAGCACAGAAGTATTGAGACACCA